CAAAAACATATTTTAGTGACACCATACTAGTGGCATGTTCTTAAAAAATGTTACAAAAAGAATATTGGGTGGCATTTTTTAGAAAAATGCCATAGAGCCACATACATATAAGGCTCTAGTGGCATTTCAATTAAAAAAAGTGTCACTTCACTACAACAAAAATGTCACTACAATAAATTTACACTTTAGTGACACTACACTAGTGGCATGTTTTTAGAAAATGCCCCAAAAATAAAAATTGGCATTAAATGTTTTAGAAAAATGCCACAGAACCACATACATAAAAGGCTCTAGTGGCACTTCAATAAAGAAATGTCATATCAATTTTATGGCATTTTATAAAATAATGACACAAAAAATTATGTTTGTGACATTTACCAACAGATGCCACTAAACTTTAGTAGCAATGGTATTTTTTAAAAAATATCAGGACATTAGATAGGCGCAAATTACTTTTTATGGCACTTAAGTGAAAAGTGTCATAAACAAATATTTTATACCATTTTGAGAAATTCCACTATGCCAAAAATTTTCCAAGCTTATAATGGCATTTTTGAAAAAACAAAAAATGTCAATATATTTTCTAAATTTTTAAAATGCAGTAAATGATTAAAAATAAATAAATTAAACTCAATATACACTACAGGAAAAAGCATATTCGGCGACTAAATTTCCTGACCAAAAAAATTTGGTCGCTGAAAGTATACCTTTCAGCGACCAAAACAGCATTAGTAGCCAAAAGTAAAGCTTTTTGGCGACTAAACAATTTTAATAGCCAAAAGTCTACAATTGGCGTCTAAAACTAAGTTTGGTCGCTGATTATATAGGTTTTAGTAACTAAAAATTTTTTAGTAGCCCAAAGTAAAGCTTTTTGGTGACTAAAAAAATTTAGTAGCCAAAAATTTACAATTGGCGACTAAAAATAAGTTTGGTCGCTAATTATATGGGTTTTACCAACTAAAAAAAATTTAGTAATCAAAAGTAAAGCTTTTTGGTGACCAAAAAAAATTTAGTAGCCAAAAGTCTACAATTGGCGACTAAAAATTAAGTTTCGTCACCAAAAGTGGTCATTTTTAGCGCGGGAGAACTAAAATCCTAAGCAGGAATTAAATATTTTGGCGACCAAAATTTTGGTAGCTGAAGGTGCATCTTCGGCTACCAAATCCGATGTTGGTCGGCAAAAGTTAATTTTTTTAGCAACTACTAAAAAACAATTAGTAGCCAAAAGTATAGAATTGGCGACTAAAAAATATTATTAGTCTCCAAAAGTGGTCTTTTTTTTTATTTTGCTTGTAAATAGTTTATTTTACATAAATTATGTTCAATAAAATAATTATGTTTATACATATACTTTTATATTAATATGGATGTATGTACTATATAAATAATATATGTTGCACATATAATCATGTGGTGCTACAAAGGTGTAGTGGGAAGAGTGTGGTGTATAAGGTTTATGGTGTGGGAGGTTGGCGGTTCGAGTCTCCGCAAGAGCAGATCAAATTGTTCTACAACGAATTATCGTCACGAATGACACTTGATAGCATCACGAATAGTGCCTACCATGACATTAAAGTGTCACTGAAAGGTTTTAATCTTGATGGTGTAATGATACTCATAAGTGTCACTAATTCTTTTTTTAATGGCGCTTGATAGTGCCACAAATAATAACTACCATGACATCAAAATGTCATTGAAAGTTTTTAGCCATGATGGTGTAGTGACACTTGCAAGTATCTACCGTGGCACTAGTATCTACCGTGGCACGGATACAAATGACACTTGTTTAAAATGCCACAAGGCTAAAAAATGTCATTAAATCAATAATTTTGTGGCACTTTCAAATGTCACTAAACTAAGAAAATGTTGTAGTGTCTCTTATATAAGATGAGCTCCAACAATATGTGAATTCCACTTTATATGAGGATTGTATCTAATATTATAATTGAATCAAATTGATTTTGCTTTAAAAAATTAAACAGTTTATTTTTAAAATCATACTCATCTTCTATTTTTATGAAGACAAAAATGATTAATTTTATGATTCCGATTATTAAATCAATATATATATATATATATATATATTTGTAATGATCAATAACTTAAAAACTAAAAAAAATGGATTATCTAAATAAGTCTAGACAATATAACATTTTCTTAGTTTAGTGACATTTAAAAGTACTACAAAACTATTGGTTTAATGACATTTTTTAGTCTTGTGGCATTTTGAACAAGTGCCGTTTGTACCCGTGCCACGGTAGATACTTACAAGCGCCACTGCACCATCATGGCTAAAAATTTTCAATGACATTTTGATGTCATGGTAGAAATTATTTGTGGCACTATCAAGCGCCATTAAAAAAGAGTTAGTAACACTTATAAGTGTCATTACACCATCAAGGCTAAAGCATTTCAATGACACTTTAATGTCATGGAAGTCACTATTCGTGACGCTATCAAGTGCCATTCGTGACGATAATTCGTTGTAGAACAATATGATCCGCTCTTGCGGAGACTCGAACCGCCAACCTCCCGCACCATAAACCTTATACACCACACTCTTCCCACTATGCCTTTATAGCACCACATGATTATATATGCAACATATATTATTTATATAGTACATACATCCATATTAATACAAGAGTATATGTATAAACATAATTATTTTATTGAACATAATTTATGTAAAATAAACTATTTACTAGCAAAATAAAAAAGATCACTTTTGGTGACTAATAATATTTTTTAGTCGTCAATTCTATACTTGTGGCTACTAATTGTTTTTTAGTTGCTAAAAACTTAACTTTTGCTAACCAAAATCGGATTTGGTCGCCGAAGATGCACTTGTTAACATAAATTTCAGAACATGAAACTTCATGTTTCGGATCATCTACCATGTATAACAACAAGAAATCAAAACAAAATG